GGACAAATCAATTCGTCCTAAAAATCAACAAGGTGTGAAAGAAAATCATTTTGGGGGTGTGTGATTTCTTTTGTCGTTTGCCATCACACCTTGTTATTGAGGACCAGCTAGTTGGCATGTGTGCCATTGGGGTTCAGAGGTCCCCCTTAGATGCCGGGAGTCACTCGTGTTCGCCCTTAGATGGAAAGAGCGCTTGCTTGTGCTGCTTGGGGTTCCTTTGTTACCACCTGTGGGTCTCACAAAATATCAATCACAAATCCATATTGTCTTCAGCAAGGATCTGGTGGTCTGTGTCGAGCTCAGCCATGCCACTGCGTTGAGGTTGGCTCTCGATCACGCCGACATGGCTGCGATGTCGGGAGCCCTCAACGAGCTGATTGGTCCGATCTCAATGTCTGAGGACTTTGTATGGGAGGTGGTACGTGTATGCAGTATGCATATATAATTGTCATAGAACTAGAACTGTAGCTAGTATGTGTGATCTCCGTAACTTCCAATCTGTCCATTGTGGATATGATCAACAGTCGAAAAGCTCACAGTTTGAGAGTCGCATTTCTGGCTCACTGCGCTTCAAAGTATCTAAGCACTACTTGTTCCTAACAAAGCCTGCTGCGGGATGTGGCGGGCCAGATCTGAGGCCAGTGAAGCTGCTGCAACTCTTTCAAGCAGCTGCACTACCAATCTGTGTGCAGAGAAATTTGGCAACATCCATCGACGGAACCCTCCAGATAACATGAACAATGCTTAGGCAAAATTCCAGCAGGGGGTTCAGACAAAAATCCAACCAAGACAGCCAGGTGCAGAAGCATGGCATCCATCGATGTCTGCAATTGGCAATTCACAAGGCGTCCTGGTGGATCAAGGAGATGCATCTCACCAGCAATGACAGCCTGCCGGGCGCTGCTTGATGGCACCAAACTGGCCATGGAATGTCCCCCCATTGATATTATCACGTGTGTATGATGTGTAATTATGCATTTCCAAATGGATTTTCCTGGTTTTCCCATTAGACATGGCGATTTATAGTACCATTGCCATCTTTGAATACCAAACGGTGGTATTTTGAGGTTCACCTCATCGTTGCCTTCCAGCATGCATCTTCGACTTTCAAGTCACTTCAAGTGGGTTCGGAACTCAAAGGCCATCTTCTGTCTTTGCAAAGGTGCAAAGGTGCAAAGGTGTGCAACTGTCACTTGTGGTCTGAGTGCATGACTTCTTTTTCCCAAAAGAGATGTTGGGCCCCAGCTCGTCATCATCACCTGGCAGCACGGCACTAACTCGTTTTTCTTACACTTTGGCGCCCAGCCCCGAGGCATATCTGTTTTTTTTCAGGAAAGATGGGTGTTTCCCAAAAAGGGAAACAGTTTTCCCGGTTCTTTGTTTCTTTTGCCTCAAGGTGGTCTACCATTGTTCATTGTTGTTGTGTCATTTGGGACTGACTGGTTTCATCTCTTCCCCCCTTTTACAGAAACATCGAGACGCCCGGGCTCCGATCTGAGGCGCCGAGCTGTACTCGGCAGGAGGGCCGTGTTGCTTCTCCTTTCTCTTGCCCTGCGATGGTCATGGCCAATGTGGACCAACATGGTACATCTTATAGTGAAACATCACTTTAAAAATGAATTACTGAGGTTATATTAGTAATTACAGCAATTATAGTAATTAATTATAGCAACAATAGTAGAAATAGTCGTAGCAATACTATAACTCTGATGTTGATGCTAATAACAAAAAATGATATACAAATATCGTAATATGCAGAGGATCTTTTGGGACCACCAATCAAAAGAAACTCTACGCACTCAGTTCCGAGCCGAAGCCGTCGACCCTCCGAAGTTGTACTGCACCGGAAGCTGTGAGAGTTGCCTCAGCTGAAAATCCGTTGGGTTGCGATGGGGCGTAAGTACCTTTCTGGATCCACAAAATTGTTATATGTATATATATATAAGTTTATAGAGATACGTTTAAGATATCAATGGATATCAAATCATTTGTTGGGGGGAGACCATCCATTTGGGGAGTCGGCTTTGTTTCATGTTCCTCACGATGGCTTCGCGAAATCCATGGATGTTTACTTGTTTGTTCAAACATGTTTAAACCCTGACAACTCAAATGCGTCCAACCCTTCATCCTTCCGACATGTTTGATTCCACAGTCAAAAGACAAGTTCCCAAACTTTGGGCAGGATGCTATGGATATTCACATCCCAAACACTCCATTGATCCTGACATTTTGAGGTTGTGTCAATATACTCGTTCGCGTTGCTCATTGGATCTGAAGGGAAAAATAACTAGAAACCAATGGCTCTGAGACCAAGCCTGGCGGTTTCCCTTGATATCAACAAATCTCAACCCGCTCATCCAAGCTTGATAAACCAATATAAACCAATATAAACCAATATATTTGGATGATATTTGGTTTTCCCTTGATAAACCAATATAAACCAATCATCCAAATATCTCCACTGCCATGGCACGTCTCCGGTGCTTTGGATGGTGGCAGCTGTGGGCTGGACTGCTGCAGCCTTGGGTCAATGCCATGGGAGGTTGGAGAGACCGCCGGAGACCGCAGATTTTTTGGGTCATTTCTGGGTCTAGAATCTAGAACCCCAAAAGAAAGGGGAAAAAAAAGGTGTTCAAAATTGGTTTTCAAATCGAAAAAGAACCTATAAAATTTCCAGCTGCCTGGGTGACCCCAACTGCTTCACCTGTTGCACTTGCTGTTGCACCTGCTGTACATGCAGCGGGTAGAGAACGTGGATGCCGAGTGGCAAGATTTCAAGGATAACTTACAGTCATCTAACCCTGCTAAAAAATAAGAAACCATTACATATAACCCTCCGGTAATTTCAACATAGCTATGGAAAAGTGCCCGTTTATAGATGATTTACCTCTTCAAAATGGTGAGTGTTCCATCGCTATGTTAAATTGCCTGCTGGTATCTGTCCAACGAAAGTTTGGTTTTTCTAATCATCAATGGCGGGAATGTGGTGCAGAAATATACAGTTGATTACAGGAGGGGATGCGCAAGCTTCACTCACAACACAGGCTCCAGATGGTAAGAAGTACCACAGTGTCACCAGGTCTTTGGAAGAATTTCATCATCCGACTTCAAAGTTCAACACCCACAACATCTGTCAAAATCTGGCCCATGAAGATCTTGAAGCATTTTCATTTGGTGTTTTTAGCAACCATGGCCTACCATTTTCTGGGAGTTTCCTGCCTGTATGGCAGGCCCAGAACCAGGCGGCCTCAGGTGAAGCCAAAGTCGGCTCTTGCGAAGAGTTTTTTGTGCAGTTCAGGTGCCTTGATGTGTGAACCCAATTTTCGTGGAGATATCTAGCGTAAGCCTTGTGGTGATTGGTTTGAGATAATGATGATCTTACGTGATTCTTCAGATTGCTGAATTAGAAAGTTAAAGCCCTTATGATATGTACCTACAAGAGTCTTGTTGCAGTTTCAAGCTGGGATCCCAGTTATTTTTTGCCAAAGGAGCAGAGAGTTGTGCGGTCGGCGGTACAGCCCCTGCTGCATCACATAGTCCTGCGGAGGCCTCGTGCGCTGCCGATCTGCCGTTTTTCAGCTTCAAGGATGGGCCTTAAAATCGGGCACCACAAATTTATATCAACAAATGTCAACAAAATCCCATCTTAAAGATATCACAAACTATCAGTAAATCAACAAAGTCCCATCTTAAAGATATCTTTAAACACGCAGCTCAGACGCGTTCTAATCAATAGTAATGTTGGATACCGATTAGTGTCCTGGGACTCTATTGTGAGACAATTTCCAAAAATTACTGAGTCTCTTGTGAATGGGGGGGTGGGCCTCTATTGTGAGAAGCTTTTTCTCAGATCCAATTTTTTCAGGAGCTTTACTGTATCGACCTTTATACACCTTTCTTTGGGTAAGGCTGGTCCATTTACTTTAGAAAATCATATCCATGTTAAAGCATTGAAAATGCAAGATTTCCCAATAATTAGATGCCTTATTACAGTAAACCCTTATTTAAAAACAGCACCCACACAATTTTTCAAGGGGGTACCCCGTGAGTGATCCAGATCCTCAATAGTGTAATTGTTTCGATGGTACCCTATTGTGCACAAAAACTTTTGGGGCATTTTGTTGGGGGATTTAAAAGGAAAATCAATTGAAAGTAGATTGATGTCAATTGAAATCCTTACTTAAGTTGACTATCCTAAAATTGTTGAGGGGGCGGGGCAGAAAATGACGAGTTATTGAGTAGCCAAAAATCGTTGAGGGGGGGGCCCTACACTAATCAGTATCCAACATTAATATACATTAATCATATGAAATTATGAAACCAATAAATATATGAAATATCTGGCTGCTGGGGATAAAACATCATCCTCCTGGTTTCCCCAAGAAAACAACTAGCAACCGGGCTGCCAGATCCGCACCGTTTCGGATCCCCAACGGCCGATTTCGGGTGGTCTGTGCCGCCGGTGAGAGGCCACCAAAGGGCCGGCCACCTGGCAGGAAATGAGCTGTTGTACTATGCACCATGTCATGAAATATTATGAATATCAATAGGTGTCAGTCATGAAGTTCTGAAAACACACATATATATATGATATGAATCTGAATACATATCTAGCAGTGCTTATTGGTATATATGTGTTGTGCAGATTTGCACAGTACAGTAGTTTTTGTCGTAGTGGAATTTGAATATTGCTCAAACATCAACCCTTGAAGCTCTGATATTGCTCTTAGAGTCACACCGCCTTCAGTGAGGGCCGCTTGATAGACCGGTTGTTTTTTTTGCACGGAACCGTAGTGATCCCAGAGCCTCTTGTGGTGCTCAACTAGCAGCGCCTCATAATGATGAACCTTTCACAGCTATGACAAACGTCGATCTGTCTTGAACCGACAATGCTCCAAAAATGTTTTTCCCTAACTACAATAATATTCCCTAGTGATTCCTTTGCAAATTTTCCTGAACCCATCTGGGTCATGGTTCTTCGATCTTGACATTTGACCCCCTTAACTGGGCCTTTGCCACGTCACCGTTCCGGCAGGATCTTCGGTCCGCCAATAGTAGGGCTGCCCCGTGTTGGGATCCGTGGTGGATTGCCAGCCACTGGGCAGCGCAGCTCCAGGTGGCGCCGGGGCAGCTTTTGGAGCGACAGTTCCCAGGCGCTCCGTCTGTTGCCAGTCCTCCAACATCCTCAGGGCACGGCGCAGGGGCGGCACCTGCTGGGCACGGTCGGAGTCCATGGGGATGCCGTTGTCCTGCACTTTTTGGACATGGAGAACATCAGGCCTTGCTGGGAAACGAAAGGACATCATCTATTATACACCAGTATTTGAAATCATCCACCAGTTGCGACCCCATAGTTTTGGCCAAAAAAATTACACCGGCATAGACCCCAGATAGAAAAGATTTCAGAAACGTTTTTTCATGCCGCGTCAATGGGTCAGTGATATAGCGGATGTCTCGACAAGCAAATTTCACAGCATCTGCCTACTCAATTGACATGAGCAAATATTCTTTGAAAACGCGTTTTGTTTTGTCTTGTTGAATGATCAAAATGATGATGCGTTTGGACTCAAAGATTTGCGTGTCGGATTGACATCACAGAGGTTGCGTCAAAAAAAAAGTGTTTTTCCTTGCCGCCCACGATTTCCAACCTTGGAACCTTGAAATCGCATTTGAAGGCAATCCTGGTTCCCAACGATTCAAGCAAGTCTGGCAACTTTCATGCATCGGTATTGCTTGGTTTTGCGTAATGGGCCGGTAACAGAACGCTTTGTTTGGCTTAATGTTAGAATGATATGAAAACATGTTCTTTACAGCCTTTTGTTTTGCTTAATGGGCCGGCATCAAATTGCTTATCTGTAACACGCGGCAGTCCTTGGTAAACGCACACGCCTCCATATGACTAGGTTCCTATTTTCATCACGCTTTGATGTTTTCATATGACTAGGTTCTCCACGCTTGCCACTGAACAAAACCATTAACGGACTACGATTGCAGAAATTGCCGCTTCCACGAAATTGAAACTCATGGTTCCCAACGTGGCAACCATAGATTTCCATTTCCAGCAATTACCAAATCCTGAAATTTGGAACTCATGGTTGCCAACCTCGTAACCAAAGGTTACCATTGCAAGGAACTGCCGGCTCCCACACCTTGAAACTCATGCTTCCCAACCTGGGAACCAGAGGTTACCATTGCAACGAATTGCCGGTTCCCAGAGGTTAGAACTTATGTTTTCGAAGCTAAGCGGCCATCATTGTAAGGAACTGCGGGTTGCGAAAGCTTGAAACTCATGGTTCCAAACCTGAAAAAGCATACGTTACCAGTGGAAGGAACTGTTGATTCCCAAAAGGTAGAACTCATGGTTCTTAATGTTGTTTCGTTTTGTTTACTGAGCCGGTAACAGAACCTTTTGTTTTGCTTAATGGACCGGTAGCGGAATGTTTGCGTTTGGCTGATGGGCCGGCAAAAAAATGTTTTTGCACGAACAAGGTGCATGTTAAAATGATATGAAGACATTTTCTTTACAACTTTATGGTTTTGCTTAATGGACCGGTACAGAACGCTTTGTTTTGCTTAATGGGCCGGTACCGGAATGTTTGCGTTTGGTTCATGGCAAGGAAGTGCCGGTTTCAAAAGGTTGGAACTCACGGTTGCCAACGTGGGAACCACAGGTTACCATTGCAAGGAACTGCCGGTTCCCACAGGTTGGAACTCCTGGTTCCCAACCTGGGAACCATGGGTTACCATTGCAAGCAACTGCCGGTTACCAGAGGTTGGAACTCATGCTTCCCAACCTGGGAACCATAGGTTACCATGAACTGCCGGTTCCCAGACCTTGAAACTTACGGTTCCCAACCTGGGAACCAGAGGTTACCATTGCAACGAATTGCCGGTTCCCAGAGGTTAGAACTTATGTTTTCGAAGCTAAGCGGCTATCATTGTAAGGAACTGCGGATTCCCAAAGCTTGAAACTCATGGTTCCAAACCTGAAAGTGGAAGGATCTGTTGATTCCAAAAAGTTAGAACTCATGGTGCTTAATGTTGTTTTGTTTTGTTTACTGAGCCGGTAACAGAACTTTTTGTTTTGCTTAATGGACCGGTAGCTGAATGTTTGCGTTTGGCTGATGGGCCGGCATAAAAATGTTTTTGCACGAAAAAAGTGCATGTCAAAATGATATGAAAACATTTTCTTTACAACTTTATGGTTTTGCTTAATGGACCGGTACAGAACGCTTTGTTTTGCTTAATGGACCGGTACCGGAATGTTTGCGTTTGGTTCATGGCAAGGAAGTGCCGGTTTCAAAAGGTTGGAACTCACGGTTGCCAACGTGGGAACCACAGGTTACCATTGCAAGGAACTGCCGGTTCCCACAGGTTAGAAGTCATGGTTCCCAACCTGGGAACCAGAGGCTACCTTTGCAAGCAACTGCCGGTTACCAGAGGTTGGAACTCATGCTTCCCAACCTGGGAACCACAGGTAACCATTGCAAAGAACTTCCGGTTCCTAAAGGTTGGAACTCATGGTTCCCAACGTGGGAACCAAAGGTTACCATGGCAAGGAACTGCCGGTTCCCAGACGTTGAAACTTGCGGTTCCCAACTTGGGAACCAGAGGTTACCATTGCAACGAATTGCCGGTTCCCAGAAGTTAGAATTTATGTTTTCGAAGCTAAGCGGCTATCATTGTAAGGAACTGCGGGTTCCGAAAGCTTGAAACTCATGGTTCCAAACCTGAAAAAGCATACGTTACCAGTGGAAGGATCTGTTGATTCCAAAAAGTTAAAACTCATGGTTCTTGATGTTGTTTTGTTTTATTTACTGAGCCGGTAACAGAACCTTTTGTTTGCTTAATGGACCGGTAGCGGAATGTTTGCGTTTGGCTGCTGGGCCGGCATAAAAATGTTTTTGCACGAAAAGGTGCATGTCAAAATGATATGAAAACAGTTTCTTTACAACTTTATGGTTTCGCTTAATCGACCGGTAAAGAACGCTTTGTTTTGATTAATGGACCGGTACCGGAATGTTTGCGTTTGGTTCATGGCAAGGAACTGCCGGTTCCCAAAGGTTGGAACTCACGGTTGCCAACGTGGGAACCACAGGTTACCATTGCAAGGAACTGCCGGTTCCCAGAGGTTGGAACTCCTGGTTCCCAACCTGGGAACCATGGGTTACCATTGCAAGCAACTGCCGGTTACTAGAGGTTGGAACTGATGGTTCCCAACCTGGGAACCATAGGTTACCATTGCAAAGAACTTCTAGTTCCTAAAGGTTGGAACTGATGGTTCCCAACGTGGGAACCAAAGGTTACCATGGCAAGGAACTGCCGGTTCCCAGACGTTGAAACTTACGGTTCCCAACCTAAGAGCAGAGGCTACCATTGCAAGGAATTGCCGGTTCTCAGAGGTTAGAACTTATGTTTCGAAGCTAAGCGGCTATCATTGTAAGGAACTGCGGGTTCCCAAAGCTTGAAACTCATGGTTCCAAACCTGAAAAAGCATACGTTACCAGTGGAAGGATCTGTTGATTCCCAAAAGGTAGAACTCATGGTTCTTAATGTTGTTTTGTTTTATTTACTGAGCCGGTAACAGAACCTTTTGTTTTGCTTAATGGACCGGTAGCGGAATGTTTGCGTTTGGCTGATGGGCCGGCAAAAAAATGTTTTTGCACGAAAAAGGTGCATGTTAAAATGATATGAAGACATTTTCTTTACAACTTTATGGTTTTGCTTAATGGACCGGTACAGAACGCTTTGTTTTGCTTAATGGGCCGGTACCGGAATGTTTGCGTTTGGTTCATGGCAAGGAACTGCCGGTTTCAAAAGGTTGGAACTCACGGTTGCCAACGTGGGAACCACAGGTTACCATTGCAAGGAACTGCCGGTTCCCAGAGGTTGGAACTCCTGGTTCCCAACCTGGGAACCATGGGTTACCATTGCAAGGAACTGCCGGTTCCCAGAGGTTGGAACTCCTGGTTCCCAACCTGGGAACCATGGGTTACCATTGCAAGCAACTGCCGGTTCCCAGAGGTTGGAACTCCTGGTTCCCAACCTGGGAACCATGGGTTACCATTGCAAGCAACTGACGGTTACTAGAGGTTGGAACTGATGGTTCCCAACGTGGGAACCAAAGGTTACCATGGCAAGGAACTGCCGGTTCCCAGACGTTGAAACTTACGGCTCCCAACCTGGGAACCAGAGGTTACCATTGCAACGAATTGACGGTTCCCAGAGGTTAGAACTCTATGTGTTCGAAGCTAAGGGCTATCATTGTAAGGAACTGCGGGTTCCCAAAGCTTGAAACTCATGGTTCCAAACCTGAAAAAGCATACGTTACCAGTGGAAGGATCTGTTGATTCCAAAACGTTAAAACTCATGGTTCTTAATGTTGTTTTGTTTTGTTTACTGAGCCGGTAACAAAACCTTTTGTTTTGCTTAATGGACCGGTATCGGAATGTTTGCGTTTGGCTGCTGGGCCGGCATAAAAATGTTTTTGCACGAAAAGGTGTATGTTAAACTGATATGAAAACATTTTCTTTACAACTTTATGGTTTTGCTTAATCGACCGGTAAAGAACGCTTTGTTTTGATTAATGGACCGGTACCGGAATGTTTGCGTTTGGTTCATGGCAAGGAACTGCCGGTTCCCAAAGGTTGGAACTCACGGTTGCCAACGTGGGAACCACAGGTTACCATTGCAAGGAACTGCCGGTTCCCAGAGGTTGGAACTCCTGGTTCCCAACCTGGGAACCAGAGGTTACCATTGCAAGCAACTGCCGGTTACCAGAGGTTGGAACTCATGCTTCCCAACCTGGGAACCATAGGTTACCATTGCAAAGAACTTCCAGTTCCTAAAGGTTAGAACTGATGGTTCCCAACGTGGGAACCAAAGGTTACCATGGCAAGGAACTGCCGGTTCCCAGACGTTGAAACTTACGGTTCCCAACCTGGGAACCAGAGGTTACCATTGCAAGGAATTGCCGGTTCCCAGAAGTTAGAATTTATGTTTTCGAAGCTAAGCGGCTATCATTGTAAGGAACTGCGGGTTCCCAAAGCTTGAAACTCATGGTTCCAAACCTGAAAAAGCATACGTTACCAGTGGAAGGATCTGTTGATTCCAAAAAGTTAAAACTCATGGTTCTTAATGTTGTTTTGTTTTATTTACTGAGCCGGTAACAGAACCTTTTGTTTTGCTTAATGGACCGGTAGCGGAATGTTTGCGTTTGGTTGATGGGCCGGCATAAAAATGTTTTTGCACGAAACAGGTGCATGTCAAACTGATATGAAAACATTTTCTTTACAACTTCATGGTTTTGCTTAATGGACCGGTACAGAACGCTTTGTTTTGCTTAATGGACAGGTACCGGAATGTTTGCGTTTGGTTCATGGCAAGGAACTGCCGGTTCCCAAAGGTTGGAACTCACGGTTGCCAACGTGGGAACCACAGGTTACCATTGCAAGGAACTGCCGGTTCCCAGGTTGGAACTCCTGGTTCCCAACCTGGGAACCAGAGGTTACCATTGCAAGCAACTGCCGGTTACCAGAGGTTGGAACTCATGCTTCCCAACCTGGGAACCATAGGTTACCATTGCAAAGAACTTCCGGTTCCTAAAGGTTGGAACTCATGGTTCCCAACGTGGGAACCAAAGGTTACCATGGCAAGGAACTGCCGGTTCCCAGACGTTGAAACTTGCGGTTCCCAACTTGGGAACCAGAGGTTACCATTGCAACGAATTGCCGGTTCCCAGAAGTTAGAATTTATGTTTTCGAAGCTAAGCGGCTATCATTGTAAGGAACTGCGGGTTCCGAAAGCTTGAAACTCATGGTTCCAAACCTGAAAAAGCATACGTTACCAGTGGAAGGATCTGTTGATTCCAAAAAGTTAGAACTCATGGTTCTTAATGTTGTTTTGTTTTGTTTACTGAGCCGGTAACAGAACCTTTTGTTTTGCTTAATGGACCGGTAGCGGAATGTTTGCGTTTGGCTGATGGGCCGGCATAAAAATGTTTTTGCACGAAAAATGCGCATGTCAAAATGATATGCGGCAACGAAAAAGCGCCTTGGCTCAGACCCTGCACAGCACCCTGCACAGCACCCTGCACAGCACCCTGCACAGCACCCTGCAAGCGCCTTTGCCAGACTTCGGCACCGCAATCTGGACAGCACCCTGCACAGCACCCTGCACAGCACCTTGGCCAGACTTCGCCACCGCAGTCTGGACAGCACCCTGCACAGCACCCTGCACAGCACCCTGCACAGCACCCTGCACAGCACCTTTGCCAGACTTCGCCACTGCAGTCTGAACAGCACTCTGCACAGCACCCTGCACAGCACCTTGGACAGACTTCGCCACTGCAGTCTGAACAGCACCCTGCACAGCACCCTCCACAGCACCTTTGCCAGACTTCTGCACCGCAATCTGGACAGCACCCTGCACAGCACCCTGCACAGCACCTTTGCCAGACTTCGCCACCGCACTAGTACAACACCCTGCACAGCACCCTGCACAGCGCCTTTCCTTTGCCAGACTTCGCCACCGCAGCCTGGACAGCACCCTGCAAAGCACCCTGCAAAGCACCCTGCAAAGCACCCTGCAAAGCACCCTGCACAGCACCTTTGCCAGACTTCGCCACCGCACTCTGAACAACACCCTGCAGAGCACCCTGCACAGCACCCTGCACAGGACCTTTGCCAGACTTCGCCACCGCAGTCTGGACAACACCCTGCACAGCACCCTGCACAGCACACAGCACCCTGCACAGCACCTTGGCCAGACTTCGCCACCGCAGTCTGGACAGCACCCTGCACAGCACCTTTGCCAGACTTCGCCACCGCAGTCTAGACAGCACCCTGCACCCTGCACAGCACCCTGCACAGCACCTTTGCCAGACTTCGCCACTGCAGTCTGAACAGCACTGCACAACACCTGCACAGCACCCTGCACAGCACCTTTGCCAGACATCGCCACCGCAGTCTGGACAACACCCTGCACAGCACCTTTGCCAGACTTTGGCACCGCAATCTGGACAGCACCTGCACAGCACCCGCCACCGCAGTCTGCACCCTGACAGCACCCTGCACAGACCCTGCACAGCACCCTGCACAGCACCCTGCAGCAACACCTTTGCCAGACTTCGCCACCGCAGTCTGCACCCTGCACAGCACCCTGCACAGCACCCTGCACAGCACCTTTGCCAGACTTCGCCACCGCAGTCTGGACAGCACCCTGCACAACACCTGCACAGCACCCTGCACAGCACCTTTGCCAGACTTCGCCACCGCAGTCTGGACAACACCCTGCAGAGCACCCTGCAGAGCACCCTGCACAGCACCCTGCACAGCACCTTTGCCAGACTTCGCCACTGCACAGTCTGCACAGCACCCTGCACAGCACCCTGCACAGCACCTTTGCCAGACTTCGCCACCGCAGTCTGAACAGCACCCTGCACAGCACCCTGCACAACACCTTGGCCAGACTTCGCCACTGCAGTCTGAACAGCACCCTGCACAGCACCCTGCACAGCACCTTTGCCAGACTTCGCCACCGCAGTCTGGACAGCACCCTGCACAGCACCGTGCACAGCACCTTTGCCAAACTTCGCCACCGCAATCTGGACAGCACCCTGCACAGCACCGTGCACAGCACCTTTGCCAAACTTCGCCACCGCAGTCTGGACAGCACCCTGCACAGCACCTTTGCCAGACTTCGCCACCGCAGTCTAGACAGCACCCTGCACAGCACCCTGCACAGCACCTTTGCCAGACTTCGCCACCGCAGTCTGGACTGCACCCTGCACAGCACCCTGCACAGCACCTTTGCCAGACTTCGCCACCGCAGTCTGGACTGCACCCTGCACAGCACCCTGCACAGCACCCTGCTCAAAAGTTCGCCACCGAAGACCCCACCTTTGAGAAGTAAGAACCCCTATAGCTTGCCAGCTATCTGGGGAACAACTATCTGTATCTATCTGTCCAGAATATACAGCTCAGCCCATCATGTCCTGCATCTCTTGCCGCAGCCAGTCCACTGCCTGGGGCTCTTCATTCAACACCGCGTTGCGCAGCAGCACGGCCCAGGCCTCGGGCAGTTTGGCGGTGGGATGTTCTTTGCGCATCGTCTCGTAGATCCGCCGTTGCTCCTCGAAGTTCCTGTGGCAGACCATCAGCGACCGAAAATCCACAGGCGATGGCGTAAAGCCTGCGTCGCGCATCTCCTGGAAAGCTTGGGGACTTCGGATACTTAAATGGATAGAAAGCAGGGAGTTCTATCAGTTGAGTTGGGGATGAGTCAAAATATTTCAGTCACTGAGCCCTGTTGGCAATGTATGATTATACTTATATCATCTTATATATATGTCTTATTGGTATATGATATGCTCACTTGATCAATTGTGCTAATAACCCAATGATACCCAGTGACTATCGACTCAGGGATGGGTCAAGTTCGGATCAAATGGGCTCCAGACATTCCATAAATTTCACAATCTTCCACGTGTCTGTCTTATCTTGAACATTGTTCATAGTGAAGAACTGACATGAACCAACCATGTTGATCCATTTCAAAGCACTTTTTCTCAACGCAGCCCTCCCGTCCCCGTTCTTCACCATCCAACCGTCCTGCATGACACGATTGGCTCTCTCTCCATCAGGTGCACAGGAGACGATCCAGGAATTCCAGTGATTTGGAAGTACCGCACCCGGATCCATCTCTTGCAGCTCCCGCCTTGGGGAAGGCGGAGCCATGGGATGCCATGGTGCAAATCCCAAGATTTCGGGGAAGTGTTGCGACATTTTCATGAGAAACATGTTGAACTGAAGGTTCTCTTTCAATCCATTCTAGCCAAATTGAAAATCAGAAACTTTGAAATCTTACATATACTTTTCAACCCCTAGAGTATACACTTTCCGTGACCAGTGACCAGTGAAAATCACTGTCTCAATCTGCATGTCGGTGTTTCTCCCTCGTTTCATTCTGGAAGTGTAAGAACATGGTACTCTCGGCCAATCAGTGGGGTAACAATGGACCCAAAAAATTGATAATCCAAAAAGCTTTGCAAACTTCACCATGGTTCAGTACTAAAAATATAGGGAAAGTATTGCCAAGTACCTTGAGTTCCTGCTTTGTAGTGATTTTCACCATGTTTTCCAATGATAATCACCATGTTTTCCAATGATTCTCACCATTTTGCCATGATTTTCACCCCCCATAGGGTCCCCTTACGGTTCTCTCACCCGAGCATCATCATCTTTTCGACCTGATCCGGCTGTCGACCCTTGGCGCAAGCTGACATGGCCGCCAGGTAAACAAAGCTCCAGTTGGTCGCCTGGTTCCGCGGCATGGCGAAGGAACAAACGGGTATGGTCATGCAACCTCTAGGGCAACATATACTTAGAACATTTGGAAAACGCTGCTCCAACATTTAGCAGGGTAATTATGTCAAGTATGTGGTCAGGAAACAAAACTTAGAACATCCCAAAAAAATCACACTTAGAACATCAATTGTGCACATGATGATGTTTCAAACCATGGTTCAAACCAGTTGTTTAAGCTGCTAAATAGTTGCTAAATAGTTGCTAAATACCTGCTAAATAGTTGCTAAATGATTTGCTAAATAGCTGCTAAATAATTGCTAAATAATTGTTGAATAGTTGCGAAATAGCTGCTAAATAGCTGCCAAATAGTTGCCAAATAGCTTGTAAATAGTTGCTAAATAGCTGCTAAATAGCTCCTGAATAGCTGCAAAATAGCTGCAAAATAGGCGCCAAATAGGTGCAACATAGGTGCTAAATAGCTGCTAAAAAACCGCTAAATCATGGCTAAATAGCTAGTAGCTAGTAGCTAGTTGCTAAATAGATGCTAAATAGTTTGCTAAATAATTGCTAGATAGTTGCTAAATAGCTGCGAATTAGTTGCTAAATAGTTGCTAAATAATTGCTCAATATCTGCTAGATAGTTGCTAAAAAATTGTTAGCTAGTTGCTAAATAGCTGTTAAATAGCTGCTAAATAGCGGGTGAATACGTGCAAAGTAGCTTGCAAATAGGTGCTAAATAGTTGCAAAACAGATTGTAAATAGCTGCTAAATAGCTACAATATAGATTGTAAATAGTTGCTAAATTGTTGCTAAATAGTTTCTAAATATGCTAAACAGCTGCTAACTAGCTGCCAAATAGCTGCTAAATAGCTGGAAAACAGCCACAAAATAACTGCCAAATAACTCCTAAACTGTTAGCTAGTTGCTAAATAGCGGCCAAAAAGCTGCTGAATAAGTGCAAAATAGATGGTAAATAGCCGCTAAATAGCTGCAAAATAGCTGCTAAATAGTTCCTAAATAGGTCCTCAATAGGTGCTAAATAGGTGATAAATAGTTGCTAAATAGATGCTATAGATGCTAAATATCTTCTAGATTCTAGATAGTTGCTAAATAACTGCGAACTAGCTGCTAAATAGCTGTTAAATAGATGCTAAATAGCTGCTAAATAGCTCTTAAATAGAACAGAGAGGTTACAGAGACCGCATGAGACCGTGCAAGAGGAGAAAAATATGCATGAGGGATGTATGTGCAGGTGGATATTTTGTGAATGTCCAATCATGTCTCCTCAAGGGGAGAGCCACTTAGAACATCAGACCACTTTTTCCCCCGTCAAAAAGGCACAGTCTTTGCTCCTCTCTAAAGGCTATAACCATAACGTTTCAATTTTGAAACTTCCGCTCCCGGCTTGCCCGTGTACTACTTGTAATCTTAAGAAAAACAAGGATCCTCATCATCATCATCATCATCATCATGGTCATCAACAACATCAGCATCATCATCTAGGTATGGGTCAAAAAAAAACACAATACCCTGTAGTTCACCTCCATAGATGCTCATTCCCTCCAAATATATATCCAAATCAAATATAGTATGGCAATCAGACATGGCCATGGAAAATCCCCCGATTTCGTTCCATGATGTTCCATGTTTTCCCGTGAAAACTAAAACCCCAACGTTTTTTTCGGATTTTCCAAGGGGGAAGTGTTCATCCCCATCTTCCCAGGCCTCATCGCTTGAGAGGCCGGCCTTCAACTCTTCCAGAGTCCTCACTGCTTCCTGCCAGTCCTTACAGGTTATGCCCTCTGTGTGGCGCAGCTGGGAGAACTGTAATGGAACTCACTGATTTGGCGTCGTGGCAATGTACGTTTTAGTAGTTGGAAATCCCCGAAACCCAAGGTTTGCGTTGAAAAGCCCCAGATGTAGATTGATCCAAGGTTGGGGTTTGTTTTTGTGTCCTAGGGAGAAGGGATCATTCAGGCATCCCAGAATCTGGGAGAATTCTGGTGGAGAAGGTCTGGCTCATGTCAATGGTTGGGTTGCCCAAAACCGGGATGATTTACTCATGCTGAAAATAAGCTAAATGTCTGGCCCCCGGTGTTTGATTTCAGAAGTGTAACTCCCAAATCCTGCTGCTAACCTCATTTCCTAAGCCAAAAACTCACAAAAACATACAAAATCCACCCAGCATCTCTGTTCTCTTTGCACTTGGTCATGATATTGCAGTAGGTCACGGAGGATCGTGCTACGCCCTCCTTGTCCATCCGGGATAAGAGTTGATCGAACTCCATAAACCTTCGAAGTCTCGCGAGCATCAACAGCATCCTAAGCACCGGGCTCCAGGGTCTGGTGACAATTGCTTGGAATTCATAGGGAATTCATAGGGAATTGGGCGTTAATAGGGAATTTATGGGATTTAACTTATGGATACAAAATGGGATACAATCAGGGATATAGTCTCCAACAGATTCTTGAAAGTGATCAAAACGGAACATTTACGAACCTCTATGCAACGAAGTAGGCGTAGGGTCTTGGCAAAAATGTAGATCCCAATAGAAAGTGGGGAATATGAGTGATGATAAACCATGAAAGTATAGGGGGTATTCTATTTGAAGAGACGACCCCTTGTAACCTGTGGAAGTCATTGACCAGGGAGATGAAGAGATACAGCAAGCAGTTAGTGAGCCACCTGTCCCAAATCACCATCTGAAGAGATTTCTTGTGACAGGGAACGAAACGTGGAGACTAGCCAGTAAACAAACCTGGCACTTGGAACCCCCCCCATTTCGAAATCTGTTCCCAAAGGATACTCTCCTTCATCTAGCCAGAGGGTATCTCCATTATATCTCAGTCCTGTATGCCACCATTATATATACCACCATTCTATCCCGTATATATCCCATATTTATCCCATATATAAATCATATATATATATATAGATATACATATCCCATACATATATATATATATGTATAGACCATATACATCCCATATATACCCCTGATATACAGTGAATATGTCTCCAAGCTTCTGATTGTATGACACTGTATCTCTCTTCGCCATTGAATGGAAGATCTCTTTGGCTTCGTCGTATCTCATGGCTTTGCAGAGGCAATTGAGCACAGCCCGACTCACCACGTGCCACTCCTGACATCGGCACGCTTCAGATGATCCAAAAAAAGGTTTAAGAACAAACTTCCCTATAGATTCCCCAAATACCACAATCACCCATGGGAAAAAAACAAATAAAATCAGTTTCAAAGCGAAGAATCCTCTCCAGCGTCCTTGGGAATTTCCGTGTTCCACAGCTCCAAGGCTCCCTGCCAATTCAAGGCTTCGGTGTGTTCCCGGAGAACAGACATGAGCCTGGCACCAGTAGGGATAGTCCCGAAATGGATGGGAAACTGAAGGCACACTTTACCAGGGTATACATATAGGAGATACGATGTGTTTGAGAACATAAACTTTAAGACTGATACAAATCATGCAACCCATCCTATATCTTAAATTTTGAATATTAATATAGTTATTCGCTTATTTTTATTTATAGATAAGATAAGATAAGATAGATAGATACGTAGATAGATAGATAGATTAGATAGAATAAGATAAGATTAGATTAGATGAGATGAGATTAGATTAGATTGATAGACAGATTGATAGACAATAGAGAGATAGATAGAGAGATAGGTAGAGAGATAGGTAGAGAGATCGGTAGAGCGATAGAGAGATAGATAGATAGATAGATAGACAGATAGATAGACAGATCGATCGATCGATCGATCAGATCGATAAGATAGATAGATAGATAGATAGACAGATCGATCGATCGATCAGATCGATAAGATAGATAGATAGATAGATAGATAGATTGATTGATTGATAGATTGATAGATTGATAGATTGATAGATTGATGGATTAATGGATAGATAGATAGATAGATTAGATAGATTAGATAGATTAGATAGATTAGATAGATTAGATAGATTAGATAGATTAGATAGATAGGATACATAGGATACATAGGATACATAGGATACATAGGATACATTAGATAGATTAGATAGATTAGATAGATTAGATTGATTAGATAGATTAGATAGATTAGATAGATTAGATACATAAGATAGATAAGATAGATAAGATAGATAAGATAGATAAGATAGATAAGATAGATAAGATAGATAAGATAGATAAGATAGATAAGATAGATAAGATAGATAAGATAGATAAGATAATAAGATAGATAAGATAGATAAGATAAGATAGATAAGATAGATAAGATAGATAAGATAGATAAGATAGATAAGATAGATAAGATAGATAAGATAGATAAGATAGATAAGATAGATAAGATAGATAAGATAGATAGATTAGATAGATTAGATAGATTAGATAGATTAGATAGATTAGATAGATTAGATAGATTAGATAGATTAGATAGATTAGATAGATTAGATAGCTTAGATAGCTTAGATAGCTTAGATAGCTTAGATAGATTAGATAGATTAGATAGATTAGATAGATTAGATAGATTAGATAGATTAGATAGATTAGATAGATTAGATAGATTAGATAGATTAGATAGCTTAGATAGATTAGATAGATTAGATAGATTAGATAGATTAGATAGATTAGATAGATTAGATAGATTTGATAGATTAGATAGATTAGATAGATTAGATAGATTAGATAGATTAGATAGATTAGATAGATTAGATAGATTAGATAGATTAGATAGATTAGATAGATTAGATAGATTAGATAGATTAGATAGATTAGATAGATTAGATAGATAAGATAGATAAGATAGATAAGATAGATAAGATAGATAAGATAGATAAGATAGATAAGATAGATAAGATAGATAAGATCGATAAGATGGATAAGATAGATAAGATAGATAAGATAGATAAGATAAGATAAGATAAGATAAGATAGGATAAGATAAGATAGATAGATAGATAGATAGATTAGATAAATATACGTATACTTTAGATGCGTATTAAATCTCATTAAGGTGTGCGTCATGTAGAATTCCAAGCAGCAATCCACCCAAAACGACGTCGCACAGTCCGCCCGCCCAGTCCCAGGGCCAGGCCTTCTCTGTTCTTGTGGGACTTCCTCCAACTCCCTCCGAAAGCGGCCGACTCCATGGCCCCCCTTTTCACCCTTTCGGTACAACAAATCCTCCACGGCCTCTGGGACGAACTCGAACGCGCGCAAGGAGCTCCTTGGAAACGCAACAAGCCCCGTTGTAACGGACAGTGAAACATCATTTCAACCCACCCTGGAAATAGAAATGTCCATAATATCATAATATATCATATACAAACCATGTGTGAGTCATAGTGTTTTTGCGGGATATTATGATCACTTTTTTGATCGGTGAAACTCAAGGATGGGGTCTCAGTGGCTGAAATCATCATGATCGATCATTGTTTGCTGGCAAAACTCCTGGCAGAAGAGATTGGTCATGTTGGATGAAAATCAGAAAAGAAATCGAAATTTCAGAAAACCAATGTCAATCCCAGTATTAAAACACATAATCCATCCATTTCATCAGATCATCCATTTTTCCCGGGTCACTGATGGATCCACCGCGTGCCGAGCCCGCAGAGGCCGCGGAGGCCGCGGCCAAGGCCCAGCAGGCGCAGCGCCATGGCCCACTATGGAGATGGCCGGTGCCGTGTTTTCGAGATATCAGGCTATATGATGGCTATATGTCTATGTATCTATATGTCTGTTATGTTTATATATATATATATTATGTATAGCATATGATACATGTATCATATTATATATATATATATACTTATATATATATATAATTATATATATATACATGGTGTAAGTTTATAATATTCTATGTGTGAGTCATTATACAATGAATGACATTCTCAAATGATTGTACATTGGATTGACGAGCCATTGAGCCACAGAAACTCATCGCGACAAACTCTTCGCTTCACCCAATGCATATCAAGTGGGGCTGGATTTTACAAACATGAAATCATCAAACAGACTTCGTGGCCGTATATCCAGCTGGATCCAGCTGGGTAAATCTTCTAGAGCACTGGTGGTTTCAACCCGTAAAAAAAATGCTAGGTTGCATAGGTTGCTAGGTGGGGTTAAACATGGAACATCTCTCGGTATGGGAGTTGGCTGATCATCCCGCTTTTGTACAAGCCGAATCAATGTTTTATCCCGCAAACGAAATCAGCAACACAATCACGCCCGTGGCCACAACCAACCCTGGGAACCTGCTACAACCGCTGAGTGTGAACTGGTGTACACACCTGCAAGCGATCAAATTTCGCTGCTGACTGCATCTCAATTTTTGTTGACCAATATCCATGTCCGTTCCAAAGAAGCGCCAAGAAGAACAGATAAGAACAGACCTATCCAAACTTGAACTCAGTGCCCAGGATACAGATTTCAGGATTCCTATCGCAAATTATTTGCTACGAGGCACCAGCAGTTGACTGTTCACCCGTTGGGTACCAAAATGATTGTTTGGGAACCATCAGCAAAGGTAAAGCCAGTGAGTTGTGGCTATTCGATTTGGGTTTGGGTCACACTGGACAATTTCCAGCAAGCCAACACTTGCGGGAAAATCCCGAAACTAGATGGGTATGGATCAATACCTATTAATACCATTTTTAATGGGATGACCATCCATTTACCAGCTATTTTGATGTTCACCAGGGGTACAAGGGTTTTGACACACTGCCACATGATGCTATCAGAATTCGGGATGTTCCAGCCTGCCATACTAATTCTCCATACCCTGAGATTCTGGCCATTGGCTCTCGCCTGCGCCACGGCACCTGAAGGTTGTAAAATGACCATCTGGGGGGGTCCATAAATGGAGGTACCCCAATAGCTGGATGGTTTAGAATGGAAAATCCTATTCATATATATATACATATATATATATACATATATATATATTAGATATATATATATTATATATATATATTATATATATATATTATATATATATATTATATTATATATATATATATTATATATATATTATATTATATATATTATATATATATATTATATATATAATATATAATATATATATATATTATATATATATATATATTATATATATATTATATATATAAAGGGATGATATGTGCGTACCCCCATGACCTAGGAAACCTCCATCTGTTGGCAGTTCAGCTCGGTTTCGCTGTTTTCACCCACACCCAAATCGCATCAAATTTGCATCGAGTTTCTGACCCAGAAACGACTAAGCTTCCAACCATCCGCATGGGCAATTCTTGGCCCTGAAGGACTAGTGCTATGATGACCTGGTGTGAGAGTTGCTGAGGAACTAGCCCTGGAAATCGGAAAATGTTCCCTTTGGCTGGGCCAGTCTATGAAAGAGGATCTATGGCATGGGGACGTTCCAAAAAATATTCAAGAGAAAAAACTACAGAAGCTCTCTGTCCCTGCTTACTTCACAAGAACAATATGCCTGCAATTGTTCCCTTCAACGAATCCATTGATTTCAGATAAAATGAGCAACGTGAAGGGAGCCTGGGATGGTTTTGCTATATTTCTTGGATGCCTTAGATCAGTTTGTTTTTTTGGGGTTTGCGATGCGCTAGGTACTGTAGCTGATGGACCATGACATCTCCCCAAAGTGTGGGATATTTGGTCCGCCCCAAAGACCATGTCGTCCAAGAAGTGGGTGCGTCCAAAATGGGGCAGACCTCATTTTATGGCAATTTTGATTCGGAGCGATGATGAGTAGCAATAGGATTTTTGGGGTCCAACATTTTCAGCAATTCTAGGACATCCTCATCCCATACTCATCTTCCTATCCTCATCCTCATTTCAAAAAAAAACATTGATTTCTCCATCAAATTCGGGTTCCCTTCCAGCAACCGCGATGGTTCCAACCGGTGGGTCATCAAGTCATCTAGCGACCCGCCTCTGGTCGGCTTCGGTGGGTTGGTGACTCAGCCCAGGTGCGTTTGATCAGAATGGAAAAGTGGTGATCTCCGATGTTACCCTCTGGTAAACGTTTACATAACTATGGAAAATCACCATGCTATTAGTGGGAAAATCAACTATTTCTATGGCCATTCTTTCAATAGCGTTTTGTTAGTTTGCCAGAGGGTAACCATCTCCCATGATCCATGATCTGCAGATTGCGATCATACCCAGGGCAGTGTTCAAAAGCCGCAGTCCTCCCGTATTACACTGGCTGGTTAAGAACGGATGTCCCATCATAAACTGTGCCAATCCCCAAGATATTGGATAGTATATACAGTATAACCATGAATAACCATGTATAACCGTATAACCCCACATCATTATTAACCAACAGGGATTTTGAACACTTCTCATGCCATTTGTTCCAGATCACTGAGGAGCTAACCCTTGACCACCACACGACCGCCAGGCGGGGCGCTGCCAGCAGCACCTGTGGGAGATGAACATCTCTTGCAAGCTTGTATGACATTTATAACTTATAACCATTTATATATTATATGTAGGTAGGGCTGTAGGTATATATAAAATGTATATGATGTTATATGTAATACAGGTTATATAACAGTTTATGATTTATATTTAGTACATCAACCAAGCATGCCCGCTTATTTCTAGGAATATTCCCCAACAAGCCCCCCAAAACGCGCAAAGCGCGCACCCGCTGCGCGGCCAGACATCGGCGCCATCCTGGCACTGATGATGTTCCCAAGCCCACTGCCGGCAACAAAATACCAACCTCATTCAACCGCCTTAATATGAATAACTTGCATTTGATACACCATGTATATATAATATACATTAATATATATATACACTATATATATATGATATACACACGAACTGATCAACCAAATCAACATTACCAAACAAACATACTCACTCATATTGGTTGATATAAACGCACCTGGCACCTACCTGGCACCTACCTGGCACCTACCTGGCACCTACCTGGCACCTACTAGTAATTTATAACATCGGATTGATTTTGGGCGTGGTTGACATGGTCAACACAATTTCAGGGTTCTGAAGCTGGCGCCATGTGTGACACTGATCGCTAAAAATTGGGGGGTTGGACCCAACATCCCCCAACATCCAACATCCGATTCAGTGATAAACCATGAACCACCATGATAAACCAAGGTTTCTACAGGGGGGTGGATGTAGGAGAAGGGATTTCAAGGCCATTAGGAACAGCATCCACCGTCGATCAACTGGGCAAGGCTCAACTTTTGCATCCCCGGTCCTGGGCATCTGCCCCCATGCTGCCCAGCCCGGCACGGCGGCCCTGCAGTGACGACAGGCCCATCATCATCATCATCATCATCATCATCATCATCATCATCATTCGAAGTACACAATGCTACTGTTATATATATATATTATATCCACCTCCAAGTCACAACCATCCAAAAAACAGAAAAGGTGTGAGCGCCAGCACCTTTGCGATCTACAAATATGTTGAAAAACCTGGCCATTTACTGTGAAGAGAAATCGGAGTTTGCCTCATTGCAATTCGGTCCGTTCCGAGATCCTGCACGTTTGGTCCCCCAGCGGCTGCACGTGCAGCATTGAAAGAACCTCAGAGTATCTTGCGCTGCTTGAATTTTCGCCTATGACCCTTTGTGAGGGAGACATGGGCGATTCCTCCAGGATACTCTTGATGAACAAACCTATGGAATATGTGAAATCTGCTTGTACTCACACGGCTACGTCTCTGTGAGTGGGCATGACTTGATGTTCCATGAAGATATCTACTGAAGCCTGTGACAATCTTCAGTCCACCAATCACCCGATGCCGATGGCAACATCCCGATTTCTTTCTTTACAGCACAGTCGTGGGTACCGCAGCGCGACGTTTCCTTGTTGGGTCCATCCAACCAACGGCCCCCCGTCGCTCGCAGCATTAAATGGTTGAAAATCCAACTGAAAATCAACATGGACATGGATCAAACAGTCAACCACATCAAAGTAACCAGGATTCCTCAGAAAAAAAACACCACAAAGTGGTGGAAGGTTTTTTTAATGGTCCAAAAGTCAAAAGTTCAGCCTCACACCAGCTTTGGCTTTGGTGAGAGGTGCTCAGGCAACCTGGATGACCAGCTTTCCGGCCGAGGCCCAGCCCATGCTTTTGCTCAGCACTGCCTCGGAGCTGGGTCAAGCCCGGGAGGATTGGACGACAGCAATTTATATAATTGAACATGCTATGATATGCTATGTAAAAACTTGGGGTTGAGACATGGTGCGACCAACTAAATAACTAAATGATACTAAATGATATTGAATGTTGGAAAGAAAGCCAAATTTGACGATAGCGACCCTTCCTAACCATCCTTGCCCGCCTGCACGTCGCTGAAGGGGACGATGCTGTCCACGGGCACCTTCAGCTTTCCTGATGAGATGCCCCAGGCATTGGCTGTTTGGTCCAGGGAATGGGGAGCAGCACTGGTGGCATAGCACGGACCAATATGGATGGCCTACCAACGAATCGTTCATCCATCGCCATGGATGACATCACCTTGAATTCATACCAGCCCAGTTCAGTGGATTGAAGCAGCCCCTAGCGAAAGCTGACCGAGGCTTGATCAGCCTGTGGTTTTGATAGCACCACTGCTATCATTTCCAACAAAAGATTTACCCCCTTATTAGGGGACCTGAACCCACATACATCATGAACCGGAACATCCAGAATTTGGGCGCCTGAATGGTTGGTTCATGTTGGTTCAATATCCCAGTAGGCCAGCTATTTGGGTATGTCCCAGCACCCTAGAATCTCATGGTTGAGAAAAAATGCGAAAATATGTTTCCCCATTCAAATTGCCATAAATTGGAGTAAATCTCTGACAAACCCGGATATCTCTTGGTGAAATCTTCGTGTAGTGAACTCCCCATGGCCAAGTCTGGCCAAGTCTCCAGCTTTCACCAACGCAATCAACTTTTTGAGGTCATCGCTGTTGGACTTAATCAGGAATACCCTCAGGCCCGGCCGCATTGCGCGTGGGAAACCCAATAAGAGCCTCATGATTTTGAAAAAGGTGTGTAGCCTGTGTAGCTGTCAAAATGGACCCACAGAATCCACCTTTTGGATCCTTTTGGTTGAGTTTTCAACTCAATTCGTAGCTCCTTGGCTTCCCAACTAATAGGGAAATATAGGGATAGCCTGGATAGCCATAGTTCCGAACCGCTCCCTCCATTCACCCCTGGATAGTAAAATGTCCAAGATCTCCAATTCCAAGCGTCTTGAAGCTGTGATCCTCTGTACTCTTCGCCTCACCGAAGTTGGCGATCGTCACAAAGTTGCCTACAGAAGACCCAAAGGAGTTACTGATGGGTCATTGGAGTGAACATTTGTTATCCATTGTTATCCCTTTTCTCAATTTCCACAATTCTTGATGTTATGGGTGGTTACAGTGGTTACTAATGTTTGCTCTGAACAAAAAATACCTTCTAAAGAAAGAGGTGTTTGACAGCACTTCGACAAATGTTAAACCATCAATGGAAAGGCTACAAGGACACGGAAAGAGATCCCAAAAGATCCCAAAAGTCTCTACAGTTTTTAGAAAATCCCAAGGTGTTTCCAAAGATCTCACCTGTCTCGGAAAATCCACCATTAAAATATCCACCATTTGTATGTCCCATCTTTAAAAAGATGTTGATGTTCCATTCCCAGCTTGGAAAAAACTGCCGCCATCTGCATCCGCCTCCTTTCTTCAAGACCTTCGCGGCCTTGGGCCAGTCCTCAGGCGTCCCCACACAGTCGTAGATCAGGTCGTAGTCCTTGCCCGCCAGGGCCTGACAAGGACAAAATTCCAGGGAAAAATGGGGAAATTTTGACAAATGAACAATGGATTTTGATGGAATACCCTCTGGTAGACTAAGATAGCTATCGAAAATCATTAGTTCAATAGGTAAATCACCTATGAACTATAAATGGTCAATTTTCCAAAGCTATGTTTCTTTACTGGAGGGTATACTAGTTGATTGATGGGATGGAACTGATAGTTTTTTATTGGCGAAATGACAATGATGAGAAGTACAACCAACGATCGTTGTGTAGAGTCGGTGCTGTACGGTATACAAAGAACTTTATGATTCTTTATGCAGAAACATATGAGTCTCTGCCCCAAAAATGACGGCACCCAGGATAGTTTCTCCAACTGAACTGGACGAAAAATGGACAATGGATACATGAGGATACCCCAGAGTTCACTCGCAGGAAGCCCGCAAAAAGCACACCCAAAAAAGTAGTCCAACACTGCAACAACTGGGGGGAACCTTCAATCCAATTTATTCGATCTGTGGAAATGTTCATTCTAGAAGATCTTCTTCGAGCCTCAGCCCAGTCGGCTTCTTTGTAGTTGATGACCTCGTCCGCACCCAACTGCTTCATGTAGTCAATCTTGCTAATTCCCTCAGGCGTCTTGTTGGGGCTGGCGGTGGTGGCGACATAGGCGCCTGCGCTCTTTGCCAACTGAATTGCCTCGGTGATGGTTGCATCACGCGTCATGGGAAAACGTGATTTTCATCATCCACTTGGCGATGGCCCTCATGTTTAAAATCGAATATCCTCACGAAACAACCAGTGGATTTGGGGTAAATCCCGGAGTTTAACCTCCTTTGTTGTCATTGAAACCCAATCGCATAGATCAAATCCACATGTTGATGCTTAAATCCCCACCATGTGTATCCATTTATCATGATTAAATCCCCATTCTTGATAGTTGATTTATGTTAAATCCCCATGTTTGATGCTCAAATTCCCATGTGTTCACGTCCCACACCCCAGCACCATCCAAGCCACAATGGCCCCCGTGGCAGCAGCGCCACCCAACACAAGCAGCTTCTGCCCGGCTTCCAACTTTCCGAGCTCTGCCCCAGAGAAGTCGCGAGCAGCACCGGTAAAAATGGCTTGGTAGGATGTGAGGCCTGCCATTTTTGGATGTTTTGGTCAGTGGGTTTTTCTAGGATGTCTTGGGAACTGTTGTGTTACTTTTTGGATGTTATGATTGTGATTGAGCTTTGTTTATGTGTTTTGGATGTTTTTTGAGGGATGCTTGAAGGTGTTCCGCCATTCCAGTTTCGGAGCTCTTGCTAGCTTGAGTGTGGGCTGAATTTGACATATGTTGACCATGTTTAACCCGAGTGTTTTTTGTTGTGAGTACTTCAACTTCAGTTGGCTTGGATGGTTTCGATCAAAGGATTCCAATGATGCCGTGCTTTGAAGGAGAAACACACATGTGGAGCGGCTGGGCGATGGGTTTATCTACCACTGATTGATCGTCATTTACCTACATTTATCTTGGAGGGATTAAGGGCAGATAGAGGTGATGACTTGATGCTAGCGCCGTAACAAATTTTGTGGAACACCAAACATTCACCCGTTGCTGGTCTACTTGTGGTCTATTCATTTCAATTCATGTCCTGTCTATTCTGATTCTTCTCTGTTAGATGATCTTCTCATCCGGAAAAGCCCCAATGGCAGTAACAATTCCCTTCCACACCACCTTTTCCATGGCCTGCCAGGGGAAGACCCACCACGTCCTTGGAACTCAATCCATCCCTCTTCGCCACGGTCTCTGCCAGCGCCAGCGCATACTCTGCGAAGGCGCCCGCCGGGCCGCAGGGGGTGTCTGTGCAGCAGGTCTCACAGAGGCCCAGGTCCACGACGACCTGGCCACAAGACCCAAGAAAATCGCCAGCAAAAAAAGGGGCTAAACCATGGTAAACCATGGTAAGATCTTATGGGGATAGCCAGCTTCAAATCAAAAAACGACACCTCTTTGAAATCAAAGTGACTATCACAACAACTACGTGGACAATCAAGATCCTTTCCCATGCCCCAGGTTGATTTCCCTTCTTTGTGTGGTGCCATTTTTCACCCCGGCCTCTGAAACTGCACATGGATCCCATTTAAATTGCTGCTACTTCCGGTAAGAAAATAATCTTCCAACCCTTTTTTTTGGAGGTTCCATAGTAGTTCTTTGGAAGATATCCCATGTTTTATCAAACAAATGGATGCAAAACAATTATGTTCTGAAAAATGTGCATATAACATCATATAACTATAGAATTCTTTGCATATAACATGATATCACAAAAAAAAACATGGTTTTTGGTGGTCAAGACCTTCGATTAAAGCTCGCCTCGTCGCCCACTGCCAAGTCGGTGACACCCTCGCCCAGTTTGGCCACGGTGCCTGACAGGTCGAAGCCTGGGACATAGGGAAAAGACACCTCGCAGCGGTGATTCACTGGGGAAAATCGAAACTGGAAAGCCATGGGGATTTTCCCCATGGAATTTAAGGGGTTCAAGTTCCGATGGTTTCCTGTCAATGTTCTCTCAAATCTATCCAATAAGAGAACTGGGGATATGGGGAGATAATAGAGATGTTTCATCGGGATATAATATTATGACATGATATAATGTTGTGAGTTGGGTTTTTTTTTCATGGCTGGTGCCAATGGACCCAACATACCCCAACATTGTTGAATGTGTTTATTCTTCATCCAATTTTGTGGGGTATACATTGTGGTGATATCGCCTATACCATGTTTTAGGAGCGTTGTTAGCCAGGTATCCATTCGGCTGCTGGTCAAAATCGGGGTGCCTCTAACATGGATCTAAATAAATGGGATTGCTGGACCCAACCATCAATTTAGGAAGCCAATCAACATAGAAAAACAACGAAAAACGTTGAACATGTTGTTGGGAAAAACACGAGTGCTCCAGAAACTGTGATGGTCCACTGGTCCACCAGAAATGGGGATCAAACATGATCCCCCACTTAAATTTGTGGTTCCAGCCAAGGATAGGGAAAACGGGGATAGCACACCCAAAAGTCGATGATTTGCACCTTTCGTGACAAGTCCAAGTGACAATGACTTTGTTCCCCAGGTCTTGACCCAGACCCATAGCAAGGGTCAAGTTACATGGTAGATTTCTAGTCATCCGTCCCATTAATCCCCCATGGATTGATGACCATCCCCCAGGGAGGACAAAGGAATCCACAGGTAACCCCCGATAAACCAACAAAGGATCATTTAACGAAGGTTTACCAGATAACTTAAAATCGGTGCGTCCCCAAAAAAATGAATATCCCAAATACATGCATGCATGCATCCATCCATGATACATATGTATGTATGTATGTATGTATGTATGTATGTATGTATGTATGTATGTATGTATGTATGTATGTATGTATGTATGTTATTTATATATATATATATATACATTATATCATTATAATATATATATAGATAGATAGATAGATAGATATAGATATATCATATAATATATATATATATGCCTTTCTTGCTTGGTCAAATATGCCGTTGTCCACCACGAGGCATTAGGCTTAAGGATGCAGATGGCCATGGCACCGGGCAAATGCCATGGAGGCCTCCACTGAATAACTTCCAATCGATGGGGTTCACCGCAGCCAGCTCCACTTTCCTGGAAAATGTGGAGCGCTACCGCATGGCTACGCTGGGCTAGGATGCGGGCTAAAACATGGTGTAAAACATGTTAAAACCTGGCCGATTGAATCACGAAACTGAGTTTCTCAATGAGGATTCACTATTGGATTTCTGACTTTCTGACCCAAATTCATTGAAATCAGAGACAGATCCAATCGCCTTTAGCTGCCATCCTTGGCGGTAATTGTAGTCCACTATTCGTCGGGTTGTCCAGTTATGCAAAGATGGGAAAGCGCATGTGGAGTTCGCCAACAAACATGGGTATATCAGCTACAGCCTGCTACAGCTATATCTTCCCCCCAAAATGGAGGGTTTTAACTGGTTGAATTCTAAACATATCTGAAAACAATTAAACATCACCAGCTATTGACCATTTAAGCAGCCAATCTCCCCTTCAGCCGAGGTGCACCAAGACTTGGCCTTTCTTAGGCTCGGGCACTGGAATCTGTAGCAAATGGATGGGTTTCAAGGGATTGGTTTGAGGAAATCCATGGGATTGCAGAATACCCACAGAATTTAAGCATGAAATACGATGTTTTGGGTGTTGCTGTGTTTTGCTGTATTTTGCTTGTTTGGCTCAATTCTCGAGCAGCTGTTTTCCAGACATAATTAGATGTGTTTTTTTTTTTAAGTTGTGGGCCTACTGGATTGAGGACCCTAGGACCCGCAGACAGCCATACACCTATGGCCCTTTCGGAGGTTGACAAGCCAGACTTGGATTTGGTTGTCCGCAAAAAGATATGGTAACCAATGAAATATAGCCAGCAAACATATAATATGTTCAGAGCCCAACAATTGGGCAGTTTGGCCAGAGCGCCGTATCCAGAGTCATCTTGCCGATGGTGTCCGCGGGATTGCCCTCAGCGCCATAGGCATGGGCCCTCCAGGCCTTCATCTCTTTGGGAACTTCCATGGGATCAAAAAACTGCGGATCGCTTGGGCCAGAAACTCTCGGGAAACTCCTGTGATTCTTCCAAAAGTAGCTGGGAACCTGGGAAACTCAAGAAATTATATACATGTATATATACCTGAGCAGGCCTGAGCATGCAAGATTGTGAAACAGTGCTCTGTTTTTTTGATGTATCAGCATGTTTGCGCGTGCAAGCTTCCAATGAAACCGAAGTCAAACCTGCACCATCATGTCCACCTTCTCGCCACACAAATCTGGATAAAGTAACAAAAAGATATATAACAATACATAAAGTATGATAATAATTATGATAATAATACGCAATCCACTAACCTGCATATACCTGAATGCCATGTGGGGATCATTCCAGTGAGTGCGAACAGTCAGGTCGAATCACTGGGGCACCAGGGCCGCCGCGCCGACGACTCAGTGGTCCAACCCAATTGAGCCAAGACGCGATACTCAGCCACCAAGGACGAAGTTTTTTCGGGTCGGAGAAGTGATACCAATGGAAAATTCCTAAAGGGAAACGATGAACTTTCACCTGGGGACGATAGGTCACCTGAGTGTGTTCCAACATTGATGAAACGTGTTTCACTGATCATGATCTGAGATGTCCTTTATCCAACAAGGGTAAGCAAGAAGGGGTACAATGGGAGACAAAGGGAGGCAAGACCCTCGGGAAGGCGGACACACCATCCAACACCAAGGCGGACACCTTAAGAAAGCATTAACAACCCCTAACAGTACACTGTTTGGGGAATAATGAGTCAACTGTGGAAATTTGGTCTCCAATACAAAGGTCAGCAACCTTCGCCTTCTGATTGCACCCATGATTCTCTCTTGTGAGCTACCAAGTAAGGATGTCTCAAAAACTCCCGAATTGGGCTGGACCAATTCTTGGGAATTCGAAGGTATAGTCGGGTATAGCCCAAGGTGTTCCAGCAGTCCAAGCGGCTTGGTTCGATCTATGCCATGTACGCAAGTACACAAAGCCAGCGTTTTGCCGCTCCAACACCACACGACGGTTGCAGCGTCTGCATGTTTGCAGGGCTTGTACAACATCAACTACAGAAACTATACAGCTGAAAAGCTATGTCTGCAGCTCATGTTTGCCTTCTCTTTAGTATCCTATGGTACTGAGGCCAAAGTCACAAATGTGAATCGCAGAAACCGATGGGATGTGTTGTTTTTTCTTCGTCATGTCTGGTTATAGTTTTGAAAGTTAATACGGTTGTTGTAAATGCTGTACATTTACCATCATCTGTCTCCAAAATTCTACAGATGTTTGGTGACCCCTTGGAGTTATGGCTGATTCTTTTGCGTCATTTCCCCATCTACTTCTTGGTCTTTAACTTCGCCCGGGCCGCGTGAATCATCTGCTCCTTCTGGATCAAGTGGCCTCAAAATCAGCACAGCTGGCAGGTGTATCTTAAGCCTCCTATTTAGTGGGTCCCTATTAGATGAAGAGAGGTTTCAGACCCAATCATATTAAACCATACTAAACCATTGTTTTTGATGTCCAAAGGTGTCAAAGAATCACTCCCTACTACTTTGATACGGTTTTAACATATTTTAACCTATGTTCATTGTAATTTGATGTTATTTGATCATCTTCCTGGCGTCAGAGATTGTGCTCTATCTTCCTGGATATCCCCATCCAGACCCGTACCATGACCCGGTTGCGCAAACCAAAAAAAAAAACGTGAAGCAGAGATGAATTGAAATTGATGACCCTATTCCACTGAGGGGAATACCATGGTTTTTAAGTGTTCAAGGCTCCAGTAATTTTGAGCCATACCCATTCTCCCAACATTCCAAAACATCTGGCAGAAGAAACCTCCCAGGTGTATTCAAAAGCTTTCTCCCCAGCCAGACAGGACCAACCCCCCTGAAGGGCGCACTGGTGTTCTCAACCAAATCCAGCATCTTTGTAATGCTATCAGACCTGAGGCTTCACTAGGCTGGTGCTGTCGCAGTGGAGGCATGTGGAGCATCCCCTCATCCAATCCCAGATCATTGCGGGTCTCAAACCTCTGGACATACCCCAACTATGAATGGTTCAGTAGAAAATCCCTTCCTTAGAATGTTGAACAACTTCCAGCAGCCATGTCTTTAGTCATTTTAAGGGGGCTGATATGAGGGAACATGATATTCTATGTGTATGTACATATATATATATATATAGAGAGAGAGAGAGATATAGATATAGAATGATATAGATAGGGGAGGGCATCACCCAGGTCTTCCCGCCAGCCGTTGAGCCGGTCAATGTAGGTCTGCTTCTTTCCTAGGTCAGTTGGACGGTGGACTGGGCACAGGACGCCCCAAAAGAGTGATAATTACACAAATTAGTGATAATTGCACTGCAAAATGCATACTGATACTCAGATATTCATCTAGGGCTACAAGACATTGATATGTCAACCATCCCCCAAAAAGGCACATTTGTCCAATCTCCCATGTTTTGTTCCGCCAAGGGACCGAATTTGATGGTGCCAGCGGGACGGTCGATCCGAGCATACACAAACCTAAAAGGTGACTCTTTTCGCCAAGGTGACACGAGGTTCACCCTTCAGAGATTCCAAGCACTGAATTTTGGACCAAAAAATGGAAAAAAGCGATGGATCTTCCCTTCCTTTCCCTGGCTGCGAACCGTTGGTCCGATCTCCAAAATCAGTGAAACCGTTGATCCGTCCCTCCACCCATGATGTCCCCATCAACGGCTGGGTCCCCACTTGGAACACACCAATTCCGAGAGTTCCTCTTCGGTCTCCTTGTCTCCCAGACCTTCAGTGTTTCAACTGTCACTTTTTCACCTTCACCGGACAAAGGATGTTTGTGGGAAACAGGCGTGCCAAAATTGAAAGACTTGTGATTCCCTCACCATATGTTGTCCTGAAAAGTGACAATATGCAGAGTCTGTTCCAAAATTGGGATGCCCCAAAATCCCAATTGCTGAAATCTTCATTTCACCATGCAAACGGCAATAAAGTGGGGCCCCTATTTCTGGAGAAAGTCGTATCAACCTCAGTGACTTCTCACGTGTTGCCTCTCAGCCGCAGGCCGACAAGCTCACAGAGCCTCTTGGTGTGGATCTGCTCGTAATACTCTGAAATCACCTGGCATCCCAAGGGAGTCGACAAAAATCCCATCCTCCCGTCCCCGTCACAAAGGAAATAAACACCAAGTATATGAGGATCGAAAATCCCCAACTTATACAGAGGATGATTGTCCCATTTAAATGTTCATTTAGTTCGGGGATTCTGGCAAAAAACCGTACGTGCTCGGCAATCATCAGTGCCAAAAAGTTATATATCTCTTTGAATCCCCTTGAAACGGTTGATTGAATGCTATTCCCAGTTCATGGATTATGATAGTTCCCAGATATCAATTGCAGTATAACGCCCCTACATTCATCAACCAACCATCACGGAGAAAACTCATGTAAATGATGGTTTAAATCCCGATTGAATAACTATAATCAACCTGGGCCCAACAAACAACTGTCATGTTCTACAGGTACATATCCCATAAAACCAAGATAGAAAATAATACTGGACCAATCTTCACCCCGAATGATGTTCATCCCCAACAAAATGAATTAACGATTGCCATTACCAAGACTAATATCCATTCATGATTATATCCTCAAAAACCCGCAATTGAGTATAGGTGTAATATATGTCCAAGATGTTCAAAGTGTATTAACCAATCCCCAATGAGCACAAATATAAAATTTATGTTCCCATTGACCCATTGGTTAAAGATATCCCCAATTGATCAAAGTTTGCGTACTAATCATTGACCAAATATCATATTGTTTATTAGCTGGTTGTATCCCCATTGAATCACCAATATAATCAACATATATATCCCCATGTTTCATGATAAACATGGATGATAATGGATAAGAATGTATAAGAGAACTTGATCATAACAGATAGTAGTCTGATATAATTTGATATAATAACAAATAGTAATGGGGCAATCATTCACCCCGCAGCCCTTGTTTTTCTCGCAGATTTCGCAGATTTCGTGCTGCACCTTGATGTTGTGCTGCACGACTCGCTTCTTCAGCAGCTGCCATCGTTCATCCGCACCCTCGTGGGGGGACTCCTCAGTGCCCAAACAGCTTGTTGCAGATAAAAGTGTGTATGTCCATGTATATGTGTGTACAATATATGCACATATATATATACACGTGATTTAATCTAATCTCATCTGATGATCCCTTTTGCTCCGTCTTTCTATCTTTCCAGCTGGCTGCCTACCTACCTATCTAATTTTACACATGTATGTTATATGATCACATATGTACTTCTGCATGACTATAGCTTTCTCTGAATACAGCAAGTAAAAGCTCAGACACAGCACATGAGATCACCAAAGCAGTTGGAGGATCTGAGTCAAGACTCGGTCCAAAATTCCACAGGCACCTTCAAAATTTGGCTACATATTAGTCATATTACTTATATATACTTATATTATTGTATTATAGTATATGATGTTATGTAAATGATTAGCAATGGATCAAAAAGTACTCAGGCACTCAAAAGTGTCGGAGTACTGACCCCGTCCTGAAAGACCGAGTGCCTTTTCAACTCGGCTTCATCTACCAAAGGCCAGTTCACAATGGCCTGCCGATGAAAATCCCAGTCATCCATGAAGGTCTATTTAAGACATGAAAATCCCAAAAATCCCAAATGAAAATGGATGATAATGGATGATGATCCCATCTTTTCCTATTGAAGATATTTGAAAATGGAGATTTCTCGTTGCTATGTTTGATTACCAGATTCCCAAAAGTGTGCATTGGCATTCGATTGCCACAGCATGCGCATCCCAAATCTCGAGGTCGCCTTTTTCATGAAAATGTTGATGAGATTCTTGTAGACCGGAACCTCTGCGGAACTGAGTGGCTCCAAAAAATTTTAAATGAAAACATTGCCCAAAAATGGTGATTGCAATATGGGTGTGTCTGAAAATAGTGTACCCCTAAACCCAATGGTTAATGATCATTATCCCTATTAAATGGCTATAATTGGGAATATACCCTATTTTCAGACAAACCCATATGAAAATGACATGAAAATGATGAGATTTTGCACCGTTGGAAGCAGCGGATGTTGATTTTGGACAAACCCAGGTACCACAATCACCATTGCCATGTCTCGCAGCTATGCCGACTGCGTCTATGCTACCAGACTCCACTTGCCACAATACCCATTGATGCACATCTCTGATTTGGTACCCAAACATGTACTCAAGAATTCGATCAAACTTGCCATGTGCTAAACTCTCCCAAATCTCCAAAGGCATAGAGATGTTTTTTGTGCGTTGCTAGAAAACCCACACTTTTAGGCATCCAAATCAACCTCGGATCACATCAAGCAACCTTGTCCAGCTTTTTCGCCTCCAAAGTGTAGAGCCTTTGCCATGTTCTGTGGGTGAATTCTACCATTTTTTCGTGGTCAAATCCTATCTGTTTTTTGTAAAATCTACAGTACCTTTTGGAAATGTCAAATCCCAATGTTATTTGGTGAAAGAAACCCACATTTCCGCTGATGACATCTACATGTCCTTTATCATGTTGTTGTGGCCATGGTCATACCCCAGGTATCCCCAGGTTGTCTTGGTCAGATCCCTATTTGAGGTTCCTGAAAGCCCGGCATGGCCCGGCGGTCCTCACTAAAAGACGTATGATGTATGACGAGGCTTCTTGAAGGGGGGGATTCTGAATTTCAAAATCATCCCCCAAATGCTGTACCCCCTATTGCCTGGCCGATTTGCAGGCTGGCAAATCGAAAGTCTTGCAGCAGTGCCTATGCAGCATGTCATCGTGTTCGTTGTCGTAGGGAGATAACACCTAAGGATCGCCGCATTGGTGACAAGGTGGGTGAGGACATGAGGACATACCCTGTCGACTTTATCGAGTTTAGGTTTAGTATGGTCAAGTCAAGCAGAACTTAAATTCGTGCTGCCTTCTGTCTGGCACACCTCAGTCTCAGTAGCCTTGTTAAATTTGACCCACGGGATCCCATCAAATGCTTCTGAAACCACCAACCCCAGGTGGATTCACTGCAAACATTCCCCAACTGGATCCAAATTCTGAGTATGCTGTTTTAAAGCCATTGGTGAAATGTGTTCGAGAACTATCTCGTTGGAGTTTTGCTGATTTTGCATTGCCATGGGCCCGTTCAGCTTTTCCACAAGTCATTCTGCCAAGCTTGCGCTGTCTCGGACGCAACTGCAACAATACATCAGGCTAATTAATCAATTAAGTAATCATTTGCCTCAGAAGTACTCAGAAGAATCCCTCATTTGGAAGGGACTCCTCCAACCACTGTGCCATTTAATTGAGATCCCCCGCCAGTCGACTCACTGTGGCCAGCTGGCGCAGTGTCGCTGCAATGTCAGGGTGGTCTCCATCTCCGTGCAAGGAACGATTCATTCGCAAGGACTCCTCCAGCTGCTGTTTGGCTTTCTCGAAATCTTTGGCATCTCCAAATAGGACGCCTAACTCGTGGAGTGTCCCAGCAATTCCAGGGTGATCCCCTTTGTGCAAGGAACGCTGTATTCGCAAGGACTCCTCCAACTGCGCTTGGGCTTGCTTGAGATTTCCAGACCGTCGAGTCACCACACCCAACTTGTGCAGTGTCACAGCAATTCCAGGGTGATCCCCATTTCCGTGCAAAGAGACCTGCTGTCGGTAGCACTGCTTGAAGCACTCCTTGGCGCGTTTGAGATTGCCAATTTCTCCGTTCAAGCTGCCCAGATCATTTAATATCGCGGCAATGTCAGGATCCGAGCTGCGCGGACCCACAGACAACTTCAGTTTCAAGGACTCTTCCAGCTGCTGGCTCGCTTCCGGCAGAAATCCATCGTCTCGATTGACGAGGCCTAACTCCTTCAGTGTCGTAGCAATTTGAAGGTTATTGGTCTTCCCGTACACGCAGCGCTTCATTCGCAAGGCTTCTTTCAGGTGCTGTTTCGCCTGCTTGAAATCTCCAGCCTCTCGACTCACCAAGCCCAACTGGTGCAGCATCTCAGCAATGTCACTGCGATCCTGATGCCCATGATAGTCCTGATCCAAGGAGCGGGTCATTCGCATGGACTCTTCCAGCTGCTGTTTGGCTTGCTCAAGATCTCCAGCCTGTCGACTTGCTACACCCAACTGGTGTAGTACCTCAGCAATGTCACTGTGATCCTGATTTTGATGCAAGGAGCGGCTCATTTGCAAGGACTCTTCTAGGTACTGTTTGGCTTGCTCAAGATCTCCAGCCTGTCGACTTGCTACACCCAACTGGTGCAGTACCTCAGCAATGTCACTGTGATCCTGATTTTGATGCAAGGAGCGGGTCATTCGCATGGACTCTTCCAGCTGCTGTTTGGCTTGCTCAAGATCTCCGGCCTGTAGACTCACAATGCCGAACTGGTGCAGTATCTTGGCAATGTCACTGTGATCATGATTTTGATGCAAGGAGCGGCTCATTTGCAAGGACTCAATCAGGTAATGCTTTGCTTTCACAAAATCACCAAAAACTCGGCTCATCATTTGGCCCATTTCAAGCAGGGCCTCGGCAATCTCTGGGTGATCCTTATCCCCCAGGGAGGATCGCTTTCTTTGCAACCACTCCTCCCACTGGCGTTTAGCCCTTGTAATCGGATCTTCAACCGGTGGACTCACCACCTTTGACTGCGCCGCAGCGGCAGTGTTTGACTGATTCTTCTCCTTTTGCCTGGAGTCAATGCTTAGAGAGGAGCCTTCAAGCGACTTCTGTGCTTTCAGATTGGCATCTTCAACGATCGGCTTGGTTCGCGCAGGCTCCTCAAGCTGCCGGTCTGTTCAAACAGTATGGTATTGTCCAAAATTTGGACAACTCTAGGTTGACTTTTCGGTTGACTTTTTTGAGGAGGAAAAAACTTCAAAATTCATTGTTTATGGTCTACCATGGCCTAACTTGTAGAGGGATTCCCCGATAGGAACATCCATTCTTGGACACACCCTCTCACGAACTTCCCTTCACTTGGAACTTCGGCGAAATTCTGTCCTGGCGATCTTGGACTGAGAGCGCATTGTTTTCTTTTCGGGCAGCTTGAAGGAGCGCCTGGATCTCTGTCGCAAGGTCTCCAATGGCACATGCATCTTTCCACATCTTGCTGACCTGTTCTGCTTTCAATTCTGCACCTTCAGTCTGGCAAGTGGCAAGGTCTCTGATTGCCGCAAATCTCTCAGCAATCCTGAGTTGGTGTCATTTGCATAGTTTCTTCACTTTGACAGTGGAATTTGCTGGATTGATGGAAGGATTGATGGATGGAGACATGGAGGGATGGATCACTGGACGTATCTATCTGTCTACCTATCTGCCTGCATGCATGTCTCTCTATCCATTTATCTATCCACCTATCTACCTATCTACCTCTCTACCTGTGCACCTCCTGTCTACCTGTCTACCTGTCTATCTGTCTACCTACCTAGCTAGCTAGCTATCTTGCTGTTTTGCTATCTTGCTATCTTGCTATAACGCAGCTAATCTAGCTATCTAGCTATCTATCAGCTATCTTGCTATAACACTATCTTGCTATCTAGCTACCTAGCTACCTAGCTATCCAGCTATCTAGCTATCCAGCTATCTAGCTATCCAGCTATCTATCTATCTATCTAGCTATCTTCCTATCTTGCTATCTTCCTATCTTGCTATCTTGCTACCTTGCTACCTAGCCATCCATCCATGCATCCATGCGTCCGTCCGTCCATCCATCCATCCAGCCATCAAGCCATCAATCCATCAATCCATCCATCCATCCATTCATCCATCCATCCATCCATCCATCCATCTTACCTGTCCACCTCATCCGTCTATCTCATCTGTCTATCTATCTAATCTCATGAAAGCTAATCTTATTTCATTCTATCTATGAATCTATGTATCATCTAGTCTATATCATAGATACTTTAATTCCATTATGAACTCTCTTATCCATGGCACGCGTGTACATCCCATTCCTTCCCCAAGCATCGCCCGCAAGCGCGTCTCACTGCGCGGCCAACTCTGGTTGCGCTCGGGGGGGTCGTACTCACGGACCTCTGCAGTGCCCCAGGAGACAGCCTTCCGCGGAGTCCTTGGCCCAAAAGGGCTGTTGCTGCTTTGGTATGACACCACTTACAAGGTGTGTCTATGTATATTGCACATGTACAAAACCAAACTATAAGTAACAACAAGTATGTGCGTATGTGGATCTGGTACGATGCATACATAGACAATACTTATGTGGATATATCTTACATACATCATGCACTTGTAAAGCGTCCGTTTTATGTTGATGGTTTGTTGTTTGGGGAAATGTACGTTTGTGTTCAGTGGTTTTTGCCAAGAATAATTAAACAGTCTTAAGATCCACCAACCCCCTTGAAGTCTTTCTTGGATTTACTGATGTGTGTATATATATATCATGTACATACATATATACATAAACAATGATAAACACAAATACTATACATATCCATACATGGCCCACTCGTTGCGTTAGCAAACAAGGCTCGATTGGCTCACGCCCGGCGAAGCCTCTGTGGGGTCTCTGATTGAACTGCTCGAACTGCTTGAACTCGCCGCCATGGCCAGCGATGGACGTTCTGCCCCAAAAACCTATAGGTTTTCTCAATGGTTCATCATCATTTTCCCTGGGAATTTCTATTTCGGGGTGGTTTCTCATTGTTATCGTTGCTCATGAATGATCATGGTTTCTCATTCTGAAAAATCATGGTTACAGTATCATGGCTTAATGAAAATGGCCTTGGTAGCACTGGGGTCCCGCTCATGGACATTTTTGGACGGATTAAGACCTGCACAGCGATTGCTAGCTATGTGAGCCATGGTCAATACTCACCAAAAATGGTTGATGGTCATCCCATCCATAATAAGGATCCAAAAATAATGGTTATTATAAATCCCTATGAACCATTGGATGACTAGCCCCTATTAATGGTTATTAACCATGAGTATTGACCATAGCTCATGTGGCATTGATGTGGCTATGGTGGCCCGATGTGGTGAGCTTTCAACTGAGCTTGCTGCTAAGTAGATGCAGTATGCCTCGGCACAAGATCTGGCTGTGACTGGCTTATTTTATAGGTGGATGTAGGTAGATAAACCCTGATAAGGCAGTGGGTGGATGGAATGGGAACCCATATTTTTCAGACAAACCCATCTCTAGTTTATTGACTTCCAAAGAACCTGATAGAAGTCATATGGTTTCTTGGAGAGACCAACTACCACTGCTCCGGATGAAGCCACCTGAATTGAAGCCATCCAAATCCAGCACATGATTTGTCTTGTGAAATTCGAGTGGCCCTAAAATCCAATGCCATCATGTTCAGTACTAAAAATATTAAATTGCCATTGTGGGTGGTATATGGTCCTTTTTATATATATATATCCTATTTTCAGACACGCCCAGATCCGAGACGCCACCTGGGTCCGGTCATACCTTGAGATTCTGAGTGCCCTTGCGGTCAATGCCTCTTTCCACTTGGGCTCTTCGGCTTTCACCGAGGCTGTGTTGAAAATGGCAAAGACACACCTGCCAGGCGTAGGATTTGACCAACATCTTCATGGATTTAGGGTTTAAGTGGTTTAAGCAACAAAAATTAGGATTTGAGCATGTGAGATCATGAATGTGAGTTTGTCCAAGAGTGGGGGATGACTAGACTGTTTTTACGGCCATTGATTTCGGGGTATACCGCTATACCCATTTTCACACAAACCCATGTGGTCATGCAGACAAGAACTCGGCGGATGGAAGGTTTATATCTTCGCTTAACAAGAAAATGTGCAGGGTCCTACAGCCTTGGAGTGGAGGGTCCCTTTTTCAATGTGCGCTTGCAGGTTTGAGAAAAAGGTGGGAACGGCCGATCTGAGGACAGAACTTGGCCACATCTAAGAACTTCTTCTCATGTAGCCAGTACCTGATCCTGAGCGCCGTGGTGACTTGGATTCTGGTTGAGAGCCTTCAGCAGCCCATTTGCCAGCTGTCAGCAAACTGAAATGACCTTCATATGACCTTCATATGACCTTCATATGACCTTCATATGACCTTCATTACCACAGGATTCCAGGACCTACAAACTACATCTCCGGGATTGGTCCATGTCAAGGTTCCATATGCAGATCCGTCCGGAAAATTGCTGAAGCCTTCCCAAGGATCTGCACTGCAGCCCTCAGGGCCCGACATGAATTCGTAGTACTGGATCTTTAGATCCTGTGGTTTTGGCATTGAGGGACCCAAATTACACCTCGTTGATCCTTCCCACGCCAAGTTGTGTTACAGTATGTTCATATATTTTCATGAGCTGTGATTTCGGGATGGGTGAGAATCAAGGACCAGCTAACTCAGAGTCTGTTGTTATTTCCAAAAGTATTCGCTCATCATTTGATTTGGCCGGTACCTGATGTTTATTCAGAAAGTAAGTCAAAGGTTGTGTCTGGTGTTGTTTGTCCAGAAATGGAGCCCTCACCTATACCCGGCAACATGTCTGCCCTTGAAACTCAACCATGTTCGGTTGGCTTAGTTCAGATCAAACTGGCGTCAAGTGCCCTTCAATTCAAGTTCTTGTCCAATTTTGTGTGCACTTCCCACCCCCTTTTTCTTCCATTCCAACCATCAACAAGCTGCAGTCACCATCCACCAGCACTCCTGAAAGTCCTCTGACTCCAGGAGTTTGGGGTTGATCTTCTTGCTGATGATCTGCGTGCGCACCTGACACCGGCCACGCCATGGAAGCGACAAAGGAAGCTCCACCCCCAAGGGTGAAAAGGAGGGGAGCCCATCAGGAATGACCAAGGAAACATGGAATCTTCATATGTGGGAGACCCCCAATCGTTGTTACCCCCAAAGCATGCAAACATCTTCGGCAAAAACTTTTGAGTTCCGCACGAAGTCCTTTTTCGCCAAGACTAGGCGCATCTGGTTCAGGATATATTCCTTGCTGGTAGAGTGAAAATCCAGCGGAACTGACGAATTTGCTCAAAGTGAGTACTGAAACAGGAAGCGTGAATTAACACATATTAAAAGTCATGGTAAATCAACTATCGCACCTGAGACATTGCAGGTGGGGTCTCATGGAAAAAATCGCTGCAGTGGAAAATTGCAGCAAAACTACTCCACCCGAATAAAAAAGGAACTGGTGGACAAACCTCCAAAAGGCCCGCACTTGCAAAGAGAACCCCAGATTGTACAAAGTGAGTACTGTATCCAAAATTCGACGCGTCTCAGATTTTGACCCAAAGCCAACTGTGGCAAAAATGACTTTGACGCAATGCCACTCCAAGTCAGTTTCGCTACTTAGCTTTGCATGTAATTGTTAACTTGGGTTCCCTCTGGCCCAAAAAACATGCTTTACTTATATAGTTAGTCTTGGTTGATATCACACTTCCAAAACATCACAATGGCCACTGGACTCCCATGGCAGTCACTGGGTTTCCCAACGGTCTTCTCCCTTCGCTCCATGGCACCAAAAGACTCCACCTGATCAGCATGTTTCATGGTTGAATCCCACTATTGAACCATGTTTGATGCTCCAATCATGTCCAATCCCAACGTAAAAAAAAGTATATGTGATGGCTAAATCATTCAATCCCACTTTTCCAGCATCAAAATGATGTTTACATGATTTACATGCCATTCTAGCAGTGTCCACCATTCCACTATTCCACAGCTTTTCCCTCCGCACCTGGACTTCTTGTACCAGACTGGCAGCCTCATCGATCTTCCCTTCCGACTCTTTCATCTTGGCCTCGGTGGTCCAAAAATCACCGATTTTGTGGATGGATGTTGCGGATTTCCTCTGGAAGTCATAGAAAACTATGACTATTGTGACTATGGAGGTTTCTGGGAAAGTCATTGAAGTCAATGACAATGATGGATGGATGGATGGATGGATGGATGGATGGACGGATGGATGGATGGGTGGATGGATGGATGGGTGGATGGGTGGATGGATGGATGGATGGGTGGGTGGGTGGGTGGATGGATGGATGGATGTTGCGGATTTCCTCCGGAAAACATTGGAAATATATGGAAAATTGTTTCTGGGAAAATCGTCGAAGTCAGGAGTTGAGACTGAGACCATTTGCAAGATTTGCCAGAAGCCATAAAATATGGGAATATGGGGATATGGGTATACTGAGCATATCAAACGGGCTGTATGATCAACAAATATGATATTTGGGTGCGTCTGAAAATTGTGATTTAATGAGGATATAATTTAATCGATAAAAAGTGGGGATATAATGAATATAATTGAGATACATACAATGGCGATATTATGAATAGGTAGATACCCTCCAGCAAAACGACATATGGAAACCCATGGCTTTCCCTGGGAAAGTGATTTGTAAATGGTGGATTGTCCAAGTGTATGTTACTCTACCTAATTGGGCACATCTTAGACATTTTTTTTCAAGATGATCGCCAAGAACAACCAGTTTTGCTGGTTACCCTACTGCAATCAAACACGGCTTGCTGGAAAAAACACAAAACGCGGCTGGTTTTTTGTTGGATTTTCCAAGCGAACTAAACCTCCGCGGCTCGGCCACGGGGATTTCCCGGCGCGATCGAAATGTACTGTTTGAGCCCCCGACCAACATCTGTGTCAAACGCGCCTTTTCCACCTTGGCCATCGAAACTAGGTGGTGTTTCCTTACCATGTGGCTATGGCTCAAAATCCATGGTACCCTTAGTGAACATTGAAATAGCTGGTCATTTACAGAACCAAAGCCGTCTTTATTGGCTGCTTTCCAGGACGTGTTTTGGTGAAATCTCTAACATTTGTTGCTTAGACCAACTAAATGCAGGATACATGGCTGGTTCCATGGAGAAATCATGGGATTGGGGCTAGCCTATTTTAAGACCACCCCAGACGAATGACCCAGACGTCCCGTTGTGAGGTTTCCGGAGTGGGCAGACCCATCCCAAAAAGGCACACCATGGATACCAGCTCAACTTGGAAAACTCTGATTAAAAGCTCCTAAAAGCTCCTAAAAGCTCTTAAAAGCTCCCTGCGAGGTCTCCGACCTCCACAAAAATCTTGCCCTCGGTGACTTCGTTCAGCGTGTTGATGAGATCCAACCGCTTCTCCTGACCCAGGTCAACCAAGGAAGTGGAACAATGACACCCCTGGATGATGGTTGTATTCCAACTGATAAATATGGAACATGATTGAAAATAATTAATTACTGATTATGAATATGTTTGAAAATGCATATGTCTGCTTCCAGAAATCCTGTAAACATC